CGCAGCCCCTGCTAGCCCAGCCCTGGGCCGCCCCCAGCTCTGCCAGTGCCCCTCACTCCCGACCCGCAGCCCCTGCTAGCCCAGCCCTGGGCCGCCCCCAGCTCTGCCGCTGCCCCTCACTCCCGACCCGCAGCCCCTGCTAGCCCAGCCCTGGGCCGCCCCCCAGCTCTGCCGGTGCCCCTCACTCCCGACCCGCAGCCCCTGCTATCCAAGGCAAGGCAGAGACAGGAAGAAACAAGCAAGATTACACTAAACACTGTCCCACACAACCTCCTCAGAAACAAACTAGAGAAATACAGCCTAGATGGAGCTACTACAGGGCGGGTGCAAAATTGGTTGGAAAATCATTCCCAGAGAGTAGTTGTCAGTGGTTCACAGTCATGCTGGAAGGACATAACGAGTGGGGTCCCGCAGGGATCGGTTCTGGGTCCAGTTCTGTTCATTATCGTCATCAGTGATTTAGCTAATGGCATAGAGAGGACACTGATAAAGTTTGTGGACGATACCAAGCTGGGAGGGGTTGCGAGTGCTTTGGAGGATAGGATTAAAATTCAAAATGATCTGGACAAACTGGAGAAATGGTCTGAAGTCAATAGAATGACATTCAATCAGGACAAATGCAAAGTACTCCACTTAGGAAGGAACAATCAGATGCACACACACAATGGGCAATGCCTAGGACGGAGCACTGCGGAAAGGGATCTGGGGGTCAGAGTGGACCATAAGCTACATATGAGTCAACAGTGTAACACTGTTGCAAAACAAGCAAACATCCTTCTGGGCTGTATTAGCAGCAATGTTGTAAGCAAGACACGAGAAGTAATTCTTCCGCTCTACTCCGCACTGATTAGGCCTCAACTGGAGTATTGTGTCCAGTTCTGGGTGCCACATTTCAGGAAGGATGTGGACAAATTGGAGAAAGTCCAGAGAAGAGCAACAAAAATGGTTCAAGGTCTGGAAAACATGAGCGGTGAGGGAAGATTGAAAGAATTGGGTTTGTTGTGTCTGCAGAAGAGTAGACTGAGAGGGGACATGAGAACAGTTTTCAAGGTTGTTACAAGGAAGAGGAGGAAAAATTGTTCTCGTTAACCTGAGGACAGGACAAGAAGCAATGGGCTTAAATTGCAGCAAGGGAGGTTTAGGTTGGACATTAGGAAAAACTTCCTGTCAGGGAGGTTAGGCACTGGAATAAATTGCCCAGGGAGGTTGTGGAATCTCCATCATTGGGGATTTTTAAGAGCAGGTTGGACAAACACCTGTCAGGAATGGTCCAGATAATACTTAGTCCTGCCATGAGTGCAGGGGATGGGACTAGATGACCTACTAAGGACCCTTCGAGTCCCACATGTCTCCGATTCTATGAAAATCAGAAATAGAACCCAGGAGTCCTGGCTCCCAGCCCCTAGACCCCACTCCCCTCCCAGAGAGGAGGAGAGAACCCAGGCATCCCAGCCTTGCACCTTTGTTCTTATTGCGCAGAGCCGACTTCAGCAGCGCAGCCTTGAGCGCCGCCTTGGTGTCGTCCGAGATGGCCCCCTCCCTCTTGGGCGGCGCGGCCTCTGGCTCCGCCTTCACCTCGGCCGGCCCCTCGGGGTGGGGGGGAGCCCCAGGCGAGGTCAGGTCAATGGTCTCCGGAGGGTACGGGACTTCCCCGGGGGCTGGCGACTCCATGGCGTAGTCTCCCCCGGTGGAGCCCGCACTGGGCATGTCCACGTCCTGGCAGCGCAAGGGGGTGGCGGCGGCGGCGGCGGCGGGTGGGGTAGTGGCGGCGGCGGCCGGCCGGAGGGCGGGCTTGAAACTGATCTGCCGGCGGATCCCTTCGCGGCGGGCGTGGAAGTCGCAGATCTCGGCCACAATGGCCTCCTTGATGCGCTCCTTGGTGAGGACCTGCTTGTCGAAGTCGAAATCGAAGGCGGGCACGCAGTCGGGCTCGTCGTCCGGGTCGTGGTACTTGGCCACAAAGGGGTGCTTGAGGGCCTCGGCCACGGCGATCCGCTCCCGGGGGTCGAAGCGCAGCATCTTGGCCAGCAACGCCAAGGCCGAGCGGTCGGCCTGCTGGTAGAGGCTCTCCCAGGGCACCGGCTGGCGGGAGGGCAGGCTCTGGATGTAGGCGCGCACCCGGTCGGCCCCGATGGCGTGGATCACCTTGGCGGACGGGGTGCCCAGCACCGTCATGATCAGCTGCAGCTGGTGGATGTAATTCTTCCCGGGGAAGAGCTGCTTGCGGCCCAGCATCTCGGCGAAGATGCAGCCGACGGACCACATGTCGATGGCCTGCGTGTACTCGTGGAGGGACAGCATCAGCTCCGGGGCCCGGTACCACCGCGTGGCCACGTATTCCGTCATGAAGTACTTGTACTCGTCCGGCTTGGTGCACAGCCCCCGGGCCATGCCGAAATCGCCGATCTTCAGCTCGCAGTTCTCGTTGATGAGCAGGTTGCTGGGCTTCAGGTCCCGGTGGATGACGTTGGCCGAGTGGATGTATTTGAGGCCCCGGAGCAGCTGGTAGAGGAAGTATCGGACGTGTTCCAGCGTGAGGGGCTGGGAGGAGTGGATGATCTGGTGAAGGTCGCTCTCCATCAGGTCTAGCACCACGTACCTGCCGGAGGATGGGGAGGTCAGCGGGGAGAGGATCCAGGAGTCCTGACTCCCAGCCCCCGCCCCGGCTAACTCACTAAACTCCCCTCCCTATAGAACCCAGCGGTCCGGGCTCCCGGGCCTCCCTGCTCTAACTCACTAGTCCCCACTCCCCTCCCAGAGCCAGGGAGAGAACCCAGGTGTCCTGGCTACCAACCCCACCTAGCTCTACCCGCTAGACCCCACTCTCTTCCCAGAGCTGGGGACAGAACCCAGGAGTCATAGAATCACAGGACTGGAAGCGACCTCGAGAGGTCATCTAGTCCAGTCCCCTACACTCATGGCAGGACTGAGTATTATCTAGACCATCCCTGACAGGTGTTTGTCCAACCTGCTCCTAAAATCCCCAATGATGGAGATTCCACAACCTCCCTGGGCAACTTATTCCAGTGCTTAACCATCCTGACAGGAAGTTTTTCCTGATGTCCAACCTAAACCTCCCTTGCTGCAGTTTAAGCCCATTGCTTCTTGTCCTATCCTCAGAGGTTAAGAAGAACAATTCTTCTCCCTCCTCCTTGTAACAACCTTCTATGTGCTTTAAAACTGTTATGTGTCCCCTCTCAGTCTTCTCTTTTCCCAACTAAACAAACCCAATTTTTTCAATCTTCCCTCATAGCTCATGTTTTCTAGACCTTTCATCATTTTTGTTGCTCTTCTCTGGACTTTTTCCAATTTGTCCACACCTTTCCTGAAATGTGGCACCCAGAACTGGACACAATACTCCAGCTGAGGCCTAATCAGTGCGGAGTACAGCAGAAGAATGACTTCTCGTGTCTTGCTTACAACATTCCTGCTAATACATCCCACAAGGATGTTTGCTTTTTTGCAACAGCGTTACACTGTTGACTCATATTCAGCTTATGGTCCCCTATGACCCCCAGATCCCTTTCTGCAGTTCTCCTTCCTAGGCAGTCATTTCCCATTCTGTACGTGTTCCTTCCTAAATGGAGTACTCTGCATTTGTCCTTATTGAATTTTGTCCTATTTACTTCAGACCATTTCTCCAGTTTGTCCAGAGCATTTTGAATTTTAATCCTACCCTCCAAAGCACTCGCAACCCCTCCCAGCTTGGAATCACCACAAACTTTATAAGTGTACTCTCTATGCCATTAGCTAAATCATTGATGAAGATATTGAACAGAACCTGACCCTAAACCAATCCCTGTGGGACCCCACTTGTTATGCCCTTCCAGCATGACTGTGAACCATTGATAACTACTCTCTAGGAACAGTTTTCCAATCAGTTTTGCACCCACCCTGTAGTAGCTCCATCTAGATTGTATTTTCCTAGTTTGTTTTTGAGAAGGTCATACAAGATAGTATCAAAACCTTCACTAAAGTCAAGATATATCACATCTACCGCTTCCCCCCTACCCACAGAAAGTTACCCTGTCACAGAAAGTTATCAGGTTGGTTTGACATGATTTGTTCTTGACAAATCCAGGCTGACTGTTATTTATCACTTTATTCTCTTCTAGGTGTTTGCAAATTGATTGCTTAATTATTTGCTCCATTATAATGGAGCTGACTGGTCTGTAATTCCCCTGGTTGTCCTTATTTCCCTTTTTATAGATGAGCACTAGATTTGCCTTTTTCCAGTCTTCTGGAATCTCTCCCGTCTTCCATGACCTTTCAAAGATAACCGCTAATGGCTCAGATATCTCCTCAGTCAGCGCCTTGAGTATTCTAGGATGCATTTCATCAGGCCCTGGTGATTTGAAGACATCTAATTTGTAGAAGTAATTTTTAACTTCTTCTTTTCCTATTTTAGCCTCTGATCCTACCTCATTTTCACTGGCAGTCACTACGTTAGACGTCCAATCGCCACCAACCTTCTTGGTGAAAAACCGAAACAAAGAAGTCATTAAGCACCTCTGCCATTTCCACATTTTCTGTTATCATTTTTCCCCCCTCACTGAGTAACGGGCCTACCCTGTCCTTGGTCTTCCTCTTGCTTCTAATGTATTTGTAGATTGTTTTCTTGTTACCCTTTAGGTCTCTAGCTAGTTTGATCTCATTTTGTGCCTTGGCCTTTCTAATTCTGTCCCTACATACTTTTGTTATTTGTTTATATTCATCCTTTGTAATTTGACTGAGTTTCCACTTTTTGTAGGACTCTTTTTTTGATTTTTAGATCACTGAAGATCTCCTGGTTAAGCCAGGGTGGTTTCTTGCCAGACTTCCTATCTTTCCTACACAATGGGATCATTTGCTCTTGTGCCCTTAATAGTGTCTCTTTGAAAAACTGCCAATGTCTTCAGTTGTTTTTCCCCTTAGACTTGCTTCCCATGGGATCTTACCTACCAACTCCCTGAGTTTGCTGAAGTCTGCCTTGAAATCCATTGTCTTTATTTTGCTGTTTTCCCTCCTACCATTCCTTAGAATCATAAACTCTCTCATTTCATGATCACTTTCACCCAAGCTGCCTTCCACTTTCAAATTCTCAACCAGTTCCTCCTTGTTTGTCAAAATCAAATCTAGAACAGCCTCCCCATAGTAGCTTTCTCCACCTTCTGAAATAAAAAATTTCCAAGAACTTGTCGGATAATCTCTGCCCTGCGGTGTTATTTTCCCAGCAGATGTCTGGATAGTTGAAGTCCCTCATTACCACCATGTCCTGTGCTTTGGATGGTTTTGTTAGCTGTTTAAAAAAAGCCTCATCCACCTCTTCTTCCTGGTTAGGTCTGTAGTAGACCCCTACCATGACAACACCCTTGTTTTTTACCCCTTTTATCCTTATCCAGAGACGTTCACCAAATCCGTCTCCTATTTCCATCTCAATCTCAGTCCAAGTGTGTTCATCCCCCCTTTTTTCCCTACGGGTCCTTCCTGAGCAAGCTGTACCTGTCAATACCAATATTCCAGTCATGTGTATTACCCCAACAGGTCTCTGTGATGCCAACTGCGTCATAGTTGTATTTATTTACTAGCATTTGAGTTCTTCCTGCTTATTCCCCATACTTCTGGCTACCAACCCCACCTAGTTCTAACCACTAGACCCCACTCCCATTCCGGAGCCAGGGAGAGAACCCAGGAGTCCTGGCTCCCAGCCCCCCCCGTTCTAACCACTAGACCCCTCTCCCCTCCCAGAGCTGGGGATAGGACCCAGGCGTCTGGGCGGGCGCTCACACGGATTTGAAGTCGTCATAGGGCACGGCGGGTTTCAGGATGTCTTTGATGGCAATGATGTTGTCGTGCTTGAAGTGTTTGAGGATCTTGAGCTCACGGAGGGTGCGCTTGGCGTTCATCACCACATCGAAGGCATTGGGGATCTTCTTGATCGCCACCTGCTGGCCTGGAGGCAAACAGCGCAGGGAGGATCAGAGCAAAGACACCATCCCCTGTGCAGCCTTCCCCCACGGAACCCAGGAGTCCTGGCTCCCTGGTCCCCGCTCTGACCCACCCAGACCTAACTCCCCTCCCAGAGCTGAGGAGAGAACCCAGGAGTCCTGGCTCCCAGTCCGTCCCCAACCCACTAGACTCCATGCCCCTCCCAGGAGTGGGGATGGGACCCAGGCGTCCGAGCTGACCTGTGGATCTGCGGCGGGCGGAGCTGACCACGCCGTAGGCCCCGGTGCCGATGGTCTCGATGACCTCGTACTCATCCCCCACCTCGAAGGTGACGTCCAGGGAGCGGGCCTTGAGGATGGCCAGGTTCTTGGCCGCGACGGTGGCCCGGTGGCCCGGCTCTCGCTTGCCCCGCTCCTCGGCCTCCTCCTCTTCCTCCTTCCGCGGCTCCGCCATGGCGCCCGTCTCCTGCTGAGGGAAGGCAGGCCAGGGCGGGGGGGATCAGGGAGAGGCACCCGAACTCCCTCGGCCCTGGGAGAGAACCCAGGAGTCCAGGGACAGGGGGGCCCAGCAGGAGCAGGGGAGGTGGGGACGAGTCACCCCGTATCTCCAGGGGAGAAAACCCAGGAGTCCAGGGGGTGGGGGGCAGGGGGCAGCACAGGGGGGTGCTGGAGGGGGCTGGAAATTGGGGGTGCAGGGGAGGCAGAGCTTCAACCAGCTGTGGTGGCGGGAGGGGCGGGGCTTTGGGACAAGGGGCGGGGCTGGGCAAAGAGGGGGCGGGGCCTCAGGGACAGGGGTCAAGCAAGGAGGGGATGGGGCGTCTCTCCCTTATGGGGAGGGGCCGGGGGGTCTCTGCAGGGACGGGGCTCGGGCGGGGCCCCCATGGGGCGGGGCCTCTCTCCCATATGGGGCGGGGCTAGGGCCCCAGGGGGCGGGGTCTCCGCAAGGGGCGGGGCAGTGGAGAGTCCCAGGGGGCGGGGTCTCCGCAAGGGGCGGGGCGGGGCAGAGTCCCAGGGGGCGGGGTCTCCGCAAGGGGCGGGGAAGGCGAGAGTCCTGGAGGGCGGAGTCTCCGCAAGGGGCGGGGCAGTGGAGAGTCCCAGGGGGCGGGGTCTCACGGTCTCTCTCACCGGCTCGCGCCCGGGACCCTCCCAGCCCCGGGCTGGTTCCCTCTCGGGTCCGCCGCTCCCTGCGCCTTTCCCCGAGGGCCCGGATGTCGCCGCTCCCGCCCAACCGCCCAATCACACTGGAGGGCAGGGGCGGGGCCCTCAGAATCGCGCAGGTGTTTGGCGGGACCAAATCCCGCCCCCTTCTGGTGGATGGGCCAATCGTCGGTGGGTCGCGTGACTATCAGCCAATCAGACTGGGAGGGGGCGCGGCCCCGCGCGAGAGAGGCGGTATCCGCACGCAATTCCCGCCCCTACAAAGATTTAGCCAATCAGAGGTTAGCTCAGTGAGAATACAGCCAATCAGAGAGCGAAGGATGTGAGGCCTCGCCTTGCGCATGGCAACGGCGTTATCTTCCTCTAAATCCCGCCTCATAGCAGAGATTGACCAATCACAGGGAGGATGCGTGCGGTTCCTATCCAATCAGGAAATGGGAAGCTCGGTCAGAGGCAGGTGGAACTGTTTTCTTCCCTAAATCCCGCCCTCTCTCAGCGATTGGCCAATCAAGAGACTGATATATGGACAAACCTGCCAGTCAGAAAGAAAAAACTGATCCTTTCTCCGTCTCGCCTACTTCAGGAATCTAACCAATCGGCGATTACTTCCTTATTAAAGATGTCCAATCAGAGCGCAAAAGTGGAAGGGGCGGGATTTAAAGGGCCAAGCAACGTTTTATGTATTGATAAAAATTAAAGGGCCAGTGACCATTAGAACAGCTCTGGGAGGGGAGTGGGGTCTAGTGGTTAGAGCAGGGGGGCTGGGAGCCAGGACTCCTGGGTTCTCTCCCCAGCTGCGGGGCGGGGTGGTAGGGGAGTAGGGTTACCATACGTCCGGATTTTCCCGGACATGTCCGGCTTTTTGGGCTCCAAATCCCCGTCCGGGGGGAAATCCCAAAAAGCCGGACATGTCCGGGAAAATCCGGACGTATGGTAACC